AGTTTTAAATGTAGCATCTGATGGCTCCAACATCATCCCTGTATCTGCTGTTGTACCGCGTAAAACCCATGCCGACTTCCACGCCGATATCTTTCCCGATACTCGCGAAGATATTCCTCAAGTGGCAGTTACTGAATGGCTGACTGGCATCAATACCACTCCTCGTATTGTTTCACTTGATCCAGCAAAAAGGCAAAGTTTTGCTCCAGTGACTACGACTGAATCAACTGCTTCTTTATCCACACTCCCAAACCAAATACAACCTTTATTGGATTCCACTAAAAACTCCATATCGGATATACAGATGCAAATCAATACACCTGATTCAGCTTCTACTACTATACCAACGGCAATTAAAAATTCTGCCAAGGTTAATCTACCCAAACACTCTGCTTACAGATTTATCACTGGCAAATCCAATACCGATTATGATGACCTAAAAGGACTGAGTGTCAATTTTCCTAATGAGACAGATGCATTTCAGGTATGCTACTACTCGTGTACTTTTAAACTTCAAGCCCAGTCTTGCCTAGTGTTGCTCATAATATGGCATATGTTTATAAATCATTCCAGATCAATTCAAAATTTATTGCATTTTCAATTTCTGGTCCTGGCGGTCGTGTTGGTGTGTGGCCCGTTGAATCCAAAGGTCGTTTTCCAGTTAAAATTCCATGCATTGTAAATGGATCAGAAATGCTAGATTTTAGACTGGATCCATTCAATGTGCATCGATTGATTACGGGCTGTGAGGATGGACGTATCCGTATTTTTGATTTGCCTGCTAACGGACTAACTGATGATCTTTATCAAGAAAACAACTTTTTCCCTGCGCATAATGGTCGAGTTGTTCTTTTACAATTTCATCCAATGGCGTTAGATATTATCATGTCCTATTCACCTGAACAAGGCTCACCACTGATTAAGATTTGGAATATTTGCACCAAGAAACTTATTTCTACCATGACACTTCCTGATCAAGCACTTAGTGTGGCATTCAGTTATGATGGAAACTGTATTGCAGCGATTTTGCGTGATAAAACCATTCGTGTTTATGACAGTCACACTGGACTAGAGCTTCAAAGTGGACCATCGCACCAAGGAACCAAAGCTGCACGTATTTTATGGATTGGCGATACTGGACGACTGGTTTCCGTGGGATATGCCAGGTAATAACGCTTGATAAAACAAATATATGCATTCCAACGGTACTTGTAAACGTATATTTGAGACTGACTAAAGATAACAATCCATACTTGACCGATTGTCATGGTTGATTGTTGTTGATGGAATTTAGAGCAAACCAGCGAGAAATTATTCAATACGATAGTCAGAATCTGACACTGCCTGTTTGTTCCACTCCACTTGACACGTCACCTAGCATGCTGATTCCCTTTTATGATCACGACACAGGTCTTCTCATTCTTTGTGGTCGAGGAGAGTCTGTTGTCACATTTTATCACCTTTCTACCGAACCCGAGCCGCTATTTCTCACTCGCTACAGTGTTCCTGGTGGAATCCGGCAACTATCTATGGCACTATTACCTAAACGGCATTGTAACGTCAAGGAAATTGAAGTTTTGAAGGGATTTAGGCTTACTCCAACGTCGGTGGAAAGTATTTCATTTACAGTACCAAGACTACAGAAAGAGTATTTCCAAGATGATATTTTTGTATCAACGAGAGATGTTGAAAATCCGGCTTTATCTGCTGATGAATGGACAATGAAGAAATCGGGAACAGTCAAACTGATTGATCTTAAACCAGCAGATATGCAACTGTGTAAGTTTGTTTTTGGCTTTAAACTTTGCTTTTATTGGAAACTGAACAGATTCCTGTAATATGGGTATACGTTTGGTGGAACTTGCTAATTCTTCAAAATATGTTGTCCTGTTACAGTATCTACTGCACCAGTTGAGCAAAAGGTGATTCGAAAAACTGTTGATTTAGTTGTTGAGCAAACCGAGTATGAGCGAAAGGAAGCAGTAAGTATAGTTATTTTGCCTTGAAATGACATTATTTTAAAGCAATTACACATTGATTTTTGACCATTTTTGAACTTCATTTACATCAGAGTATAAAAGCCATGTTTGATATAGCCATGGAAAAATCAAAACAAGGCCCGTTACCACAAGATTTGATTGAAGGTGTTGCGGATGACGAATGGGATTAAATAAACATTGACTGTTGTACATTTTACTGACTTTAAATGCATACCAGCTAAAGCAATTTAATGGTAATTCTGTCAACACAAACACAATAAGAGATCAGTTTCCACCTTCACTGGACTTTTTCTCGTCCATATCCTCCACAAGCTTTTTAACTTGGAGCATGCCAGCACTCAAGTCTTTTTGAAGATCTTCCACATCTTCAAGACCAATACTAAATCGACAGATAGTTGGCTCGACACTGGCACCAGTAGCAGCACGCCATTCAACAAGCGATTCACAACCTCCCAGTGATGTGGCATTGATGAATAACTTGAGATTTGAGCAAATGAGTCTTGCGTGGTGTAAAGATTTAAACTAATCGCAACATATGAAATAAGTACACAGTATGACATCATATAGCACTAAAAATAGTAAATAGATATTTAGTAAAATACCTCGACACTAAAAACGCCAGAGAATCCACTTCCTTGACGCAATGCAGCTTCATGACCAGGATTGGCGGGGATGGAGGCATGCCATACTTTTTCGATGATATCCAAGGTCTCATCATTCGACTCGCCGGAAATGCGCGAATTAAGCCATTTAACCAAAGTGGTTGCACTGCTCGACTGTTGCAGGATTCGTAGTTTGTAAGATCTAAAATGCATAGCATCATGAAATCAAGTATGAGTCAGCAACTGTACTAAAATACCAACACAAACATCAATGCACCATACCTCATACTACGGAGAAGCAGCCATGCCTCCATACTTCCCATGTTGCTTCCAAGGCGTACTCTGTCTTTAAAAAGCTAAAACACACCAATATGCATTTCAAAAATCAGGTTTACGAGTTTAAACATACATGAAAATGATATATCTATTGAAAAATTGTAAACGAGTATACAAGTCAACTAAAAACTAACCTGATCCCTAACGTGAATATCTTTTGTAATTAAAACTCCACCAAGCAAATCTGAGTGACCACCCAGAAACTTTGTAGAACTGTGCATCACAATATCGACATCTATATCCCGGAGATATTTGGTTAAATTCTTTTAAAATAAAACTTGAAATATAATAGCGAGCCTAAACATACTATGCTTTAAAGGGCATTGAAGTGGTGGAGGTGCAAATGTAGAGTCAATTCCTACAATCACGCCAGGTTTGCGATTGGTCGTATAGTAGTGAAGATCTATGCATGTAGAGACCCAGGAAATTGGAATGATTAGTGAAATAGCACTTGCACCAAACAGTAGGAATCACAATCTATTGAAAATCAGCAAAACCAAGACAATATTACCGGCAACTTCTCCACACGGATTTTGAGGAGATTCTAGCCAGACCAAATCACCGGCTTCGAGCGATTTCAGCAATGAACCATCCTTATCATTCTCAATGTAAAAGAGTTCCTAAATCAAAAACATAGCATTAGCAAATGGTGAAACTGCATTGCAAACTTTAATCTAGTAGTGATATTTGCCGTGAATAACGAGTTCAAAACCAACACATTGAATTACCACAGAACGGCCTCGCATGTACATTTCAATAATGCCATGTGTGCCATTATAGCCTCCTGTACTGGTCAGGATACGCTTAGGCTGAATCAGCTGAAACACTGCAAAAATGGCCGAAAGTCCAGATCCATATGTAACTGCATATGCCATACTTCCTGCGCATTGACAATGCAAGCCAAATCAAAAATGTCAGATATGCACTAAACGAACGACATTTGCTGTTTGATGCAATCTGCATTCAAATCAGCCACGCCAAGGATTTCAGTTGATACTTTACCTTGTTCTAGATGACCAAGAATGGACTCTAGACGGCTACGGACTTCAGTCGTTTGTCGAGAATACACATGAGCGGATAGGTCTGGTTGATCAGTTGAAGCTGGCAGCCAGTTTTTTGAAATGGCAAACTTATCATTAAAGGCTTTGCCTTGAACTAATATAAAGATTGTATATTATCCAAAGATGGTATGTTTTAATAAACACGTACGATCTGCCATGAAAGATGGCAGCAGTCGAGATTGAAGGTGAAGTCTTACCAAAGGTGGTTGAAACATGTAGAGGAACTGCTACATCAGGGGTTGAAGGATGATCAGCATGAAGCATGATTGTTGCCATATCGCTAGTGATAAAATCCATATTGTCTGATCAATACAATCAAGTGTTGGAGTTGTATTGAAGAATGGAACGCTTGTAACGACTTGAAATAAACGATTAAACATTCACCGCGCTTATGCTACAAACCGATTGCTTCAAAAAGCACAGCCGTCATGACTCTTAAGATGGCTTTGAACATTTTTGTATTGATCTTGGATCGACTATTTTACTCCGGAATAAACAATCGTTACTTTTTCCATTGAAACTCTGTTCTAATATCAGATACCTTTGCAATCTAGTTCAACATATCTCAAGAGTACTCCAATAGACTCGAGGTCATAAACAATGTTATTCAGTCAATTTGGCACTCATCATGCCATGAAATCGGTGATTTGTTACACATTTACACCTGTCTAGTGTTTCGCTTTACGTGAATACAGTGTAATCTACGATTGTGCAATAAACTGTTGCAAAAAATATTGTTTTATTCTTTTTTTGGCGTTGACTTGGACTTTGAGGGAGTCTGGCCGGCCTTGACAGTTTCCTTGACTAATTTAGAAGTTTCTTTTGCTTCTTCTTCTTCTTCTTCTTCCTCATCCTCTTCTTCCTCTTCTTCTTCCTCCTCTTCAGGCTCAGCAGGTGCACTCTTGCTTGCAAACAGGGAGAAAAGCAATACGGGCAAGAGAAGTACAGCAACAAACAATGCTACAATATGAGGCATTTCTTTTACCGCATCCAAAGGAGATTCTTGTACACGAGCAACAAACTCGAGTGACTGATCCTTGAGAATTTCAGCAAACTGTTTTGCCTTGTCCAAGGCACCAGGTCCTTTCTCCACCTTCTCCACCTTCTCCGCTGCACTCTCAATCTTATATTTGACTGCCCAGGTTTCTTCAGCAAGCTTCTTGGCATCATCAGCACTATGACCGACATAGATATTATCAAATTGTATGCCATTGGTCATGGTCCATAGCTCAATACCAATGGCACCCTACACAGAATATCAAGAGTTGAATAAGGCGTTTACAGTTCAGTACAGATCATTCATCAACGATCATTAATGCAACAATCGAAATAAGCGTAGATCGTGGATGCTACTTACAATCTTGCCAAAGTTGGATGGAGTTTTGTCGTTAAAGTAATGAGGATTGGCAACTTTGCGAGGAGCCCACATGCCCTTGTATTTGGGATTATCAATAAATGGTGCCCTATCAGAAAGGTATCGTTAACACGACGCGAGCCTACTAGCTTAATGGTTTTGAAAATAAAACGGCAAATACTTACACCCACTTGCCCTTGTATGCAGGATTCTTGATAAGTGGACGCTGCCATTTGCCTAACAAAAATTCAAGTCAACAAGTGGTTTCGATATAATTCCCCTCAAGGAAAAATCACAGATACATACCACATCCAGAAACAGTCTCGCATTTGGGATTGGCAACCAATGGTGCGGTCCACTCTCCATCCTCTTCGTCATCCCAATCTTCTGGTTTTTTAATGGTAGGGTCGGGAATAGTCAGAGGTTCGTTAGTCAACCAATCAGCAGGTTCCTAAAGTAGAAATCAGTTGGCACGTTAGTTGAATGCACCACCTCTCGACCATTTACCAAAAAATACTCACCGATGCTGTCTCGTCAGGAATCTCCATGGGAGCGTTTTCATCCCTAGTACGGTTACAATATCAACCAAGGGGTGAGCAATTAAAACCAATAGCTTAAATGGAAATTAAACACATACCAATCAGCAGGCTTGGATGCAGCAGGATCAGAGATTTTGGGGTTGTCATCCCAATCCATTGGTTTCCTATCACTAGGATCATCAATTTCAGCAGCCGGGTTGACGAGGGGAGAAAAGTTTTCAAAAAGAGATCCGGATGACGCAGAAACATTGTTGATCAGTAGATCAAAAGTTTGATCCGGACGAACGATCAGAGTGTACAGGTTAGTATTGGTGTCAATTTTGGCGGTAGGGGGCGAAGAAAGGTGTTTCTCCTCAAGCTCGCCAGTAAGGGGATTCTTGTGGCGAAAAATGAAATGAACTTTGTTGGTGGTTCCACACTTGTCTGGACCAAACATGATAGTATAAGGAGTTTTGTCCTCAAATGAATCAGCCTGATATTTATCGTTATAAGAAAGTAGCTTAATGTAAGCACCACCACATTCCAGACCATTCTGAAGCTTGACCTCGTACTGAACAACCAAGCTCTTTCCGGTCGGATCAACTGGTTTGGGAAACTTGGCAGAAATGGCGTGATGAGCAGCGGTAGTCTTGACAACAAGACCCTCGTCTCCAGCAATGACAATGGGTGTAGAAGGCTCAACGGCCCACTCGCCACGATATCTAAGAAGATCCTCATCCTCGACACCATCAACAATCTTTTTGGCATTCGAAGGAATCCAGCGTTTTTCCCAGTCAGCGCCAAATTGTTCCAAAAATGGTGCAGTCAGAGTGGTGGGCTATTTAAACCAAGCATAGTTTAGAAACCAAAATGTAATGTGTGAATAATTTCGAATAATCAAATGAACTGTTTTAAAGCGTGTGAATGCAAAGGCAAAATGAACAGATTCAACAGCAGTACTGGAAAATGCAGACAGATTTATAGTAAATGGTACAAAAATGCATCACAATTCAGATGTTGAATAAAGCAAAATAGTTGTAAATGAAAAAAGTCGAGATGTTTTATGGAGATAGTGAAGTCAAGAAACTAAAACCTCAGCAAGGAATGTAGCACTTGTCACTCCCAAAAAATCAAAAAACTAGATCTAGAAATAATTGTATATCGGGAACTGACTGAATCCTTTTGATGATTCAGAGCGAATAGATACTCCAGCAGATGCAGACCAACTGAATATAAAAGTTCAAGACACTTACTTTAAAAGACTCATGGACAAGATTCTATTTATCTGCAAAATTTGATTGAGACGATGCATCATCTGCAGAAGCAACCACTACAACTGCAGTAGAAACCAGAGAAAGAGCAACAGAGAACAGATGCATAATGACAGCTCAGCAAAGTGCACTCGACGCCAATCTGAATAGAATGCAAAGTGATCACGTGCACTCGTTGACTTTTGATGGCAGCAAACAGCAACTCGGCCAGACTCGAACGGCCGTGAAACTCAACCCACGCTGAGCTACTGAATGAATTCGACTCGCACTTTGGGATCGGAAGCCTCTCGTCTTCTTATTTTATTTGATCATTTGCTTACTCCAATCACTGCTGGCAATGAGGTATGCACTGCTTTGAGTCTGCGCGTACACCTTGGAAACTGTCTCACATCCAGTCTCTTGATCAACATGAACTAAACCATTCAAGAAAAAATCATGTATATCTGATGGCATGGATATTGAAGATACAAGTGTTTTGTTTGGGCATTTGGCCAAAGTATTACAGACTCCAACTACAGATCTCCCAGATGAGCGCTTTAAGCTTGCTACCAAACTAGGTGAGACAAACTACTGTCGTTTCTGATTCTACAATTGATAATTTCAATTTAATCTTTTTACTTGTTTTCGTGTTATTTAAAAATAATCGCAATCTGCATATTGGTTCAAGTTGACGCACACTACATTGATCTTGCCCAAGAGATGAAACAAAAAACTACTATGCAATTAAATATGGAATTGATTCACAGCACAAATGGTGCTCAGTATACAGTGTTTGATCTATTCGTAAATTGCATTTTAGAAATTCTATGTTTTCACGAGTATGACAAGATCAATAAAAAAATAAATGAAACTTTGGATATGCAGGAATCCAGGCTGTATCATTTGATTTTGATTAATGGCAAGTAAACTGTTTATTTTCCATACCAAAATATAATCATCTAACTCATTAATCAAACTCCTATTCAGACTACCCAAGCTCATCTGCACTTGATCGTTGCATTAAAATATTAAATTCTCCTCATGCAGCAGATATGTATGTTCTTCGGGATGTTGGACTATGCATGATGTACATTCTGACTGCATATGGAAAAGTACGTCGGGTTGATTTGATAAACACTGGATCAGGCACTTTCATAAACGATGAGTTCTGTGTCCAACACGAAAACGACAAAATAGTAAATGCAGTGTCACATATTCTTATGGTTGCAGATACAATAACTTGTATTCCACCAACGAGATCTACTATCCATCACGTCCTTTTTCTTTTTAGTGTATGTCAACCTTGAATGTTTTTACACTGGAAATCACTACAATCTATCAATGTATGTGCCAGTAAATTTATTGTTGTGATCATTTCTTGATGGGCTGTAGGTATCCATGGGAAACTCGTCGAATGCAGCTATTCTTAGACCATATACCATGTCGTGTTTATTTCAATGGACAGACAATCACTGGAATACAATACGCGCTCAATCAGATGCCAATGAAACCCCTTATTCTTCACAAGCCATCATGGCATTGTCATTTTTTGCGGTAGATCGCACTCATGACAGAAATATTCTCGAATGGCTATGGACTATTGTTGACGGAGTGGATGCATGGAAATCGCTTGTCCAAAACATTGCAAGTTTAAAGCTGACATCTAGTTTGTTTTTATAACTGCTTAGAGCTAAACACTGTTTTGTTTAAATGATTTGGTATAACCAGACGCAAACATGGCTTATTGCAGAGATTGAAGCAATCTACGAAAACCTTTCAGATTTAACAGATGACATTGAGCTCATGTCCAAGGCATTTGAATATGCAACATGTTCATCCAAGATTCAAATATTTTCTCAATCAAGAAATGGCTGTCAAATATTGGCAGTAAGCAACTGCAGTGCATTAGATTAAATTTTGCTTTTTAACCATTTACGCAAGTTGGACTAACTCAAGTATAACGCAATATGCTAAATGGGAAAATCAATTTCTGATAGGAGCTGGCATTGATCATTAGTAGTGCACCTAAAGCCATAAATACTTTGCTGATGATTGCAATATGTGCCATCACATGGTATTCAATTCAATTGGACCTGTTTTTAGATAATCCATCAAGCAATGCTTTGACTACTGCCGTTTGGACAATGTGCATAAAATGGATGGAAATACCTGAAAAGATACCAAAGCATTGTGAGTTGATAGGGTTCTAAGCCAAAATATCTTGAAGCGTGTCTATCCAAGATTGCTTTTAACCTTTGGTGATTAAACTGTAATTATATAGGGCATCGAACTGTGCTATATATGGCAGTGGCATTAGCCAATGCTCACATATCGACGTATTTTAGTAGTCAAATTTTACAAGTTAATTTAGGCGATTCCGTATCGACCAATACAGATGCAACATCAAATGCACTTTTACAGGCAATTCAGTTATGCTACGTTCCACACCAATTAAGCGATGCTGATTTGGATTATGAGGATTTTGAACAGAATTCAAATAGTGAGCTACAAGTAAAGTATGCAACGGATCTGATCACACACATTAACCATGCATTGCTTATTATATCTGTGGATGTCAGTCTAGGTAAAATTGTGATGTTCAACTGTATAAGAGTAATGGAGTGTTTTAATCTATGCTGCATGAAAAGTGCCTGACTATTCATTTTGATCTGTCTAAATTCAAATCAAGCCTATCGGTATGCAAACACGCCCATGCTTATAGAATCGCTGTTGATGATGGCCAGTACGGATGAACATTGTGTGGTGGTTCAAGATTATAGCTCTATTCAAACTGCAGTGGTATTTTTTCTAGAAACACTCTTGTCGGTTCATCACGTAGAGCCGTTTGAAAGAAGCGATGCAGCAGAGCCACACATGCAAGTTGAATATATTAAGCTCCAAGAGTCTATTTGCACAAGGATTGCCAAGAGTGGAATGGCATGCAAGCATGCCATTGGTGCGCTTCGAATAGGAGCCATATCAAGCATATTTGGATGGCTCAGATTGTTTATCATTGTAAGTAGTATATAAAGAGCACCCGATAATACCGTTTTACTTGAATGAGAGTTCCTGGCATTTTCATTGTAGAAAATTCAAGTTTTAATTGAATTTAGAGATTGAATATAATTATTTGATTCGAGGTTTCACCATGTCACCAAAACTTTTCTCTACAAACAAAGATGTCGTCGTCTAAAAAGCAACAACTCGCTATTTGCAAGGCAGCACTTGAAGCTTTACAGACCAAAATCGATGAAGCAGAACAAGAAAGAAAGACGGCAAAAACTCAGTTGGAGAAGGCTATTCAGGAAGGGAAAGCAGTTTCCTCATATGAAAAACTCTTGGATTCAGCTACAGCTTTCCTCACTGGTTTGCAAAGCAAAGAAAAAGAATTACTCAAGAGAGAGTCTCAACTCACCCGCTCTCCCTCTACAAGCGACGACGAAATGCAAGAAATACCACCTAAAGGCTCACCCAAGCGAAGAAAAGTCGATGATTTGATTGAAAAGAGCAAGAGGTATCTATTTAGAACTGAACGCTGGGGGTGCGTCACCGTCATCAAAAAGAGAAGAGCCGTTACTTTTGCCCACACTGAACATTCCTCTCTACAACCTGGCATGAGTATGAAAATCTACTCTACTGAAGGAAATGTTGAATATGATGTTAAAGTGGTCAAGACAAATGCAGAGAGTGACTGGGTGCTGTTGGAAAGTGATGTTGATTTGTGCGAGAAGGAGCCAATTTGGGAACCTGTTGTTGATGGCCATCGTTATGTTCAACTAGGCCTCTCTGCTCTCCATCAACAAGAGTCTCCATTTGCCATTTCAACCGGAGTGATTAGCTCACAGCGTCCGAATATGTTTGGCCACACTCTTGGGTCATCTGGAGCGAACCCTGGTGATTCTGGTGGAGGCTGCTTTGATCAATCATCTGGCTGTTTGGTTGGAATCAATGTTGGCTGTGAAAATGCCTCTTTTAATCCGGACATGGACACTGTAACTCAAACGTACCACAAAATCTCTACCAGATTTGCCACAAGAGCCCACATTATTCCCATCAATAGTTTCCAGTTTGTTTAAATAAATGTTTCCAATCTTTTTCACTAGTTAAGCTATTCACTTTTGACTAAAATTCAAACTATCAATTACATCACCATGAGGTTTCTTTCCGAAAGTATTTGAATGCTCCTGCTCGTCAATTATATTAATACGACTATTAAAAATGCATAGAATGAAAAGCATGGTTTGAATAGCAATCCCTTCTCTCTAACCTGATGATTTGGAAGTCAAGGATGAAGAATCGTATTCTGATAGGTTTTTTTTAGACTTTCGAATTAATATATTCATTGAATGTTTGCATTAACTAGAATTAAGATGCCAACTTATAATTTATAATTGCTAAACTTAGCAGAAAATGTTGATATTATTACAAACTGTGGCATGAAGATTATTACAATTGTAATGTCTGTACAACTCATTGCATGGATAAGGCAAGTTGCTACTCTCAATGACACTGCTTTGGAACAAGAGCTCAAATTAATCAACAAAAACTCTATCAATGCATTTGCAAGAGCCGTTGGGCGAATTCGTCGTCCGGAAACTGATTCTCATACGTTCAAGTTATGAAGCTCATCCCCACGCAGATACCATCAATTTATTACTTTCTGTTGGAGAAGCTGCAGTATCTGCCATCAATTCAGACATACCTGTCAGTCCCGTTCCATATGCAGTGAGTCCCCGTATGTGTCAGAATATTAGGAGCTTCGTGATTTGTTTGATAGTATAGTATGGTATAGTAAAGTAGGTAAAGTATAATCTGTAACTGTTAGTAGTTATCAGAAGAGAACAAATCAGAAGTGTAAGAGGAAGTTGCACTTGAAATCAAAATCAGCAAACTTAGTCTTTTCAATAGTAGTGAAAAGGGTTTGATAAAGTAGTTGGACAGATGAAATAGTTTGAAGAGTTGTTTATTGATAAGAGTAAGCATCTTAGCTTTTATAGTAGTTGATTGTTTGTCTTGTGATACGAACAATTAACACGTTTGATGATGAGAGGTTGTAAATGAAAGTTACAACCAATAGTGTTGATTTCTGGAGTTAGTAAATTTAATAATGAGATCGTCTACCCGATTATTGAGAACTTGAATCCTAGAGATGAGAGTTGCAGGGTACGGAGCACATGGATTTTTGGTAATGAAGGGGTTTAACTTGTGTTTAAGTTGGCGCTTTTTTAGAACTAGCTTTGCCACAGGTTACCGCTTAAGAATATCCGTCTGGATATTCCAACAGTGCAGTCAAGCTATGGCATGTTCCATGCAGTGCATCAGAATTAAACAATACATCTGGACTAGCGCTACCAGATCTCCCTGCGCTAACATTGCCAGCTGAACTAAAACACATAGAAACTGTCATGTTTCATCCGATTGCTTGCAATCTACTGTCGGTAGCATCAGCAGCCCAAGTCAAACTTTGGGATGTTAGCCATGAAACTATGGCAATTACTCTGGACTGTTCGGAAGTAGTCCAGACAATCAGCTGGTTGGTATTAAATCCAATACTCTTGTGCATTTGTACAGTTAGATGATGCTGATTCTATTTGGATGCTTCTTGATCGTTCAATTCTGCATAGGAAGGAAGATGGACAGCTTCTGGTTTCTATTTCAAAAGATAATATGCTGCGCGTGTTTGATCCTCGTGTCGGATCCACTCCAATCAAAGTAACTGCATTTGATCTCAGTTTGGAAATTGCATTTGAATCTAATCGATGAGTCTTGGATTGTTTTACTAGTCTGTCAATTCTCATAATGGAATCAAACCTAGCAGAGTGGTCTGGGCAGGTGCATCGAATATGATCTTTTCAACTGGTTTCAATTCAAAACGAGATCGAGGTGTGATTTGGATAGTTGTCTTTGTACTTTGTGTATCAATTAATTGTTTTGGGTGGTTGAATTGAAATCTAACACGAAATACAATAGAATATTCCATCTGGGATTTCAGGAATTTTACTCAGTCGCTTGTTACCAACAAATTGGATACATCTCCTGGCATTCTGACTCCGCTTTATGATTCAGACACCAAAATGATGTTTCTTTCTGGAAAGGTATCGATATTTAACCCATCACAGTAGATTTATATGTTATCTTCAGCTGAAAATGACTGCCTATTCTATACATAGGGCGACACTAGTGTTTGGTGGCTAGAACTCAAGCCAGAAAACGAAAAATCACCCGTTGATGTTGGAGTGTATCCCTATGTTGGAAGTATCACATTTTCTGGTGCATGTCTTGTACCCAAGCTCGGTTTGGATATAATGGGATGTGAAGTTGCTCGAGTTTTAAATGTAGCATCTGATGGCTCCAACATCATCCCTGTATCTGCTGTTGTACCGCGTAAAACCCATGCCGACTTCCACGCCGATATCTTTCCCGATACTCGCGAAGATATTCCTCAAGTGGCAGTTACTGAATGGCTGACTGGCATCAATACCACTCCTCGTATTGTTTCACTTGATCCAGCAAAAAGGCAAAGTTTTGCTCCAGTGACTACGACTGAATCAACTGCTTCTTTATCCACACTCCCAAACCAAATACAACCTTTATTGGATTCCACTAAAAACTCCATATCGGATATACAGATGCAAATCAATACACCTGATTCAGCTTCTACTACTATACCAACGGCAATTAAAAATTCTGCCAAGGTTAATCTACCCAAACACTCTGCTTACAGATTTATCACTGGCAAATCCAATACCGATTATGATGACCTAAAAGGACTGAGTGTCAATTTTCCTAATGAGACAGATGCATTTCAGGTATGCTACTACTCGTGTACTTTTAAACTTCAAGCCCAGTCTTGCCTAGTGTTGCTCATAGTGTGGCATATGTTTATAAATCATTCCAGATCAATTCAAAATTTATTGCATTTTCAATTTCTGGCCCTGGCGGTCGTGTTGGTGTGTGGCCCGTTGAATCCAAAGGTCGTTTTCCAGTTAAAATTCCATGCATTGTAAATGGATCAGAAATGCTAGATTTTAGACTGGATCCATTCAATGTGCATCGATTGATTACGGGCTGTGAGGATGGACGTATCCGTATTTTTGATTTGCCTGCTAACGGACTAACTGATGATCTTTATCAAGAAAACAACTTTTTCCCTGCGCATAATGGTCGAGTTGTTCTTTTACAATTTCATCCAATGGCGTTAGATATTATCATGTCCTATTCACCTGAACAAGACTCACCACTGATTAAGATTTGGAATATTTGCACCAAGAAACTTATTTCTACCATGACACTTCCTGATCAAGCACTTAGTGTGGCATTCAGTTATGATGGAAACTGTATTGCAGCGATTTTGCGTGATAAAACCATTCGTGTTTATGACAGTCACACTGGACTAGAGCTTCAAAGTGGACCATCGCACCAAGGAACCAAAGCTGCACGTATTTTATGGATTGGCGATACTGGACGACTGGTTTCCGTGGGATATGCCAGGTAATAACGCTTGATAAAACAAATATATGCATTCCAACGGTACTTGTAAACGTATATTTGAGACTGACTAAAGATAACAATCCATACTTGACCGATTGTCATGGTTGATTGTTGTTGATGGAATTTAGAGCAAACCAGCGAGAAATTATTCAATACGATAGTCAGAATCTGACACTGCCTGTTTGTTCCACTCCACTTGACACGTCACCTAGCATGCTGATTCCCTTTTATGATCACGACACAGGTCTTCTCATTCTTTGTGGTCGAGGAGAGTCTGTTGTCACATTTTATCACCTTTCTACCGAACCCGAGCCGCTATTTCTCACTCGCTACAGTGTTCCTGGTGGAATCCGGCAACTATCTATGGCACTATTACCTAAACGGCATTGTAACGTCAAGGAAATTGAAGTTTTGAAGGGATTTAGGCTTACTCCAACGTCGGTGGAAAGTATTTCATTTACAGTACCAAGACTACAGAAAGAGTATTTCCAAGATGATATTTTTGTATCAACGAGAGATGTTGAAAATCCGGCTTTATCTGCTGATGAATGGA